AAGTTTTGCGGCCTCATCCCAACCAGAAGCGTGGCCGACTCCGTTTTCACTACACACCTCCTACAGGAGATTCGCGATAAGCGCCTGGACTTGGACGCTATCGCAGAGGCCATGCACACAAAAGCCGGCACCACCATCCCCAATAAAACAACACAAGCCCGAGCTTTCCACTCTCCACTTATCACACTCCTGACCGACCAGCTACAAGCCCATGCCCCAGCTGTTGCTGAAGGTTCTGCCCTTCGAGCGCTCAAGGCCACCTCCGATGACCTTGCCCGTGCCCGTGAGAAACTCCAAGCTCACGGACTGGAGCTCACCCCAAAGAAAGACACTGGCCGCCCCAGCGCTCCGTCTGCCCCAGCAGCTCCCCCCACACCTCATCAACCACCAGCACTCCCCGATGTGCTTCAGCCGTCCTACCCCACCCTCAAGGACGACGCCCCAGAAGCCTGGACCGCGCCCGCCATCCAACAGTGGATGCGTACTTTTGAACCCAAAGTACAGGAGGCAGCCCAGGAAATCTTGCGCCTACTCCAGACTCCAGACTAGCAAAGTTTCCACCGATCAGCTTGACGAGGCCGCTACCCGCTATGGGCTACCCCTCACTCGAGTTACCAAGCTCTCCATTCAGAGCCTCCAACACATCGTTAGCGTGGGCGCTGCCATCGCATGCTGACTAGCCCTGACCAGTCAACGCCAGCCGCGCCACACTTCACTCCACCAACTCTTCCGCTTACACCAAGCTCTTTCCACCCTCATTCACCACAGCCAATACATTGAACGAGCCGAGGCTCTCTTTGCCGCGGGGCTCATCCACATCACACTTCTATTTTGCTACCCCTCCTCCACACAACGCTCACAACAATGGCGTCAGCGACTTCAACACCTCCACGTACAACCACACACCTATCACTACCGCAATTTTCTTTCTCCCAACGCTGTGTATGTCAAACTCTACCTCAACCCCACCACACCTCACCGCTGCTACCGCCAGCGTGGCCATTTCTACATCGGCTCCACCGGCATCGGCATCCCGCATAGGGAACACAATCGTCGTGCGCTGCAAAACAATATCCCCATTTCAGCGGAACTTTCCCTCCGTTACTGGCACTCTCACAACAATATTCACCACTTCACACCCATTCAGCTCTCGTCCCACGACACCTATGACCAAGCTTGGATTCAGGAACACTACCTCATCTCCAATTGGACGCCGCCTCTCAATTGGCCTTTTCAGGAACACTACCTCATCTCCAATTGGACGCCGCCTCTCAATTGGCCTTTTATCTCCCATCACCTCAAGCTCAAAGCTCAAGGTTGGCAATTCACAAAACACCGCGCTCATTTCTATGGCCGCCTGGCCACACACAAGCGACTCTTCCGCAAGCTTCGCAGGCGGCAACATGCCATTCACGAACCTCATCTTTTCACCTCCACTCGGATACATGCCCTCACTCTCCTCCGCAACCTCACGAAGCACTGGCCTCCTTTGAAGCAGCCAAACAACTCCGCAGCGGCAAACATACTGACCTGGAAGTCTATGCCATCCGACGCATGGCCTCCAACTTGGAAGAACCTGGTCTCAGAGCGCTACACATCATCAACCAGGCGCTCAAGTACCGCAACCTCAGTCCACCCAAGCCTAACATTCCACTCACCATTCCATTTTTGGCCCACGACCAGTTCACCAAACACTGCGAACAGTGGCTCAAAACAACCATACAACACCACAAACACTTGGCCATCCCGCTCCACTTGCCCACTCATCGTTTGCGGGAGGCAGCCCACAAGACTCTCCGGGCCCACCTTCACAACCACCGCACCTGGGAGGGTACCTTGCCCACCCCTCCGACCTCCAGCGACCTGCCATGTGCATGCGCCCACCTCAAAACCATTCTTCTCGATCCAACCACACCCACCGTCGACAACCATTACATCCTTACCCTTGACCAACTCACACTACCACCACATCTCCGCATTTTCCTGGCAGCCAATATGAACAGTACCTTTTACCCCAGCAAAGCCAGATACTTCCTTACGTTCCAGAATGCCTTCACCAAATGGTTGCGAATACAAGGCCTCCCACCCTCTCTTACACAGCACCTGGAGCCTTTCCTCCAACATCAATGGAAGCTCCACACCATTTTCACTGGCCTTGGCGATCAAGTTGTTCTCCACCATGCCGACCATGAACTACAACAGTTGCGCATTTTCTGCCCCCGCCAATACTTCACCGGGGCCCTCGCCACCTGGCAGTCACCCGAACTATTTGCACCCATGCCAACACGATCCCATACGGCATTGTCCACCTCAAGGAGAAGAAGCATTGGCGCAAAGGCCGCACCATCATATCGTACTTCCAGTCCCTGAGCGGCAATCTCCTTCGCATCACCAGCAGAGCACTCGACATTATACTCCAACACCTCCTCCCCCAGCATCCAGGCCAACTGTCCATTCCACAACATTTGGTCCCATTTCCACTGCTACCTTACCCACACACCTCCAGACATTCCGCCACCAACGACGATCTCGTCGGTTTCTTCAACTCAGTTCCTCAGCACCGCCTGATTGACGCCGTTCACTCTCTGATTCAGCAATGGCAGCGCCAGAACAACACCCACACTCTTACAGTCGACACCAAAGCCACCGGCAATCCTTTCCACCACTCCCATATTGGCAGACACCACGCCGCCGCCCTACACAACGCACCATTCACACCGCAGACATCACGACCATTGCCATACGCGCTCGACACCTGCATTTTCCGGGCATGTAACAGCACTTACAAGCAAATTCGAGGGGCTGGGATTGGCTCCCAGCTCTCACCTGCCCTTTGCAACGTCGCCATCACTCTCATTGAACATTCATGGCACCAGCTCCGCAACAACCTCCTTCAACACACTGCCCTACACTTCACCTACTATCGGTATGTGGACAACCGTTTCATTGTCCACAACGAACACTTCCTCTCACATCCCGCAATCCAGACCCTCATCCACAACAACTTTTTCGGCGATCCCGTCGAATTGGAAACGGTGGATGACTTTCACCTTTTGGGCTTCAACATAGACCTCCAGCAACGCACCATCACCTACATGCAACCCACCCAACCCTGGAAAATCAGGGACCACACCAGCGCCGGTAGCCAGCGCTTGGCTCTTTCCGGCTTAGCTTCCAGACTCCACGCCATTTATACATACACCTTTCCACCCCACAATGCCACCGCCACGGCAGAAGCACTGGTCCACCTGTACGCCCAAAAAGGGCACGACAAGCGTGCAGGCGGTTTTTGAGAAAAAGGTCCGTTTCTCCACTGCTTTGCTTTTGCGCCGACTGCGGCGTGTTGTGTGTGTGTGTGTCGCACCCTGGGTCCAAGGGTTTTCCATGTTTCCACTATCCTACTTTCCACCGAAGGCAGCAGGGAATCCACAGTTCTGCTGCCAACGAAGACAGCTGTGGACATTCCGTGAAGCAGATTGGGACGCCAATCTGTGTACCTGCTGGAAAACTTTTGAGCAAGCTGTTCCAATCCGTCTTTTTTGTTTTCATGGTGGTTCATGCTTCCTCCCCTAAACCCATTTCGTCACCGCAGATGTGCAGTTGAGCCACCGATCGTCCGCGGATATGCAGCGTTGTTCAGCAGAGCGAGGGAAACTATGTTCAACATTTCAAGTGATCGGACCCAATCACCTTTCGTTCCATCGCCTTCCTTCCCATCGTGGCAACTGAGTCTAACTGAAAACCAATGTCGAAGTGTGTGTCACCCTCCGTTTCCAACAGTTTAAATTATTCTTTTGGTTCGCAGGGGCGTGTGACACTCTTATCCTATCACACGCAATGAAGCTGTGGATAAGAGTGGGAAGGGAAACTTGGCCAGTTTCCTGTACCTGCGACGCAACTGTTGATCACGCTCTCCAATTCTGTTTTTTGCTTCCATGGTGGTTTCATGATACTCCCCACAAACCCTTTTCCTACCGCTGAGCTTGCCACCGCCGCGCTCTGCAGTCACGCGCCACCAGTGTTTTCAACCATTCAAGTGAGCTGACTCCATCGCCGTTCTGTTCCATCATTCTTTTTCTCGTGGAACTGAGTTGACTGAAAGCCCTTTGTCTAAGTGTGTGCCGCTCTGCCGTCCCACTTGGGTGCAGGGTGTGATCTCTCGCAAGGGAGCGCTGAAACCATCGTGGATCACTTTTTTTAGCGTTTTTCTGCACGCGTTGGATTATCACTTACTGATTAAGTGTCTCCCCCCTGAATCTTCTGACCACAAAACTGCCGAGTTTACGGAGACTTGACGCCGCCGGGCTTACGGATTTGTGTGTTTTTTTCAGCAGTGCTTTCCAGGCTCAAGCGCCTTTTACCATTTTTCAACTTCATATTGTTCATGCACGAGCTTACTTTCCATTTCAACTGGTTTAGTTCACCAGAATTCGATGTCTTGGATGCACTTTTAATAATGTTTGGCTTTTTTGACTCTTTTGCGTTCAACTTTATGTCCAAAAGGGACACGCAGCCTCAGACTGCAAACGATTTTTAAAGAGCGGAACAACAGTCCACTTTACCACTGCGCGAGCGCCGATCATCGGCATGTTGTGTGTGCCACCCTCCGTTTCCAGGAGTCTAAATTCCTCTTCTGGTTCACAGGGGCGTGTGACACTCTTATCCTATCACACGCAACGAAGCTGTGGATAAGAGTGGGAAGGGAAACTTGGCCAGTTTCCTGTACCTGCGACGCATTTGTTGCTCACGCTGTCCTATTTTGTTTTTTGCTTCCATGGTGGTTTCATGATACTCCCCACAAACCCTTTTCCTACCGCTGAGCTTGCCACCGCCGCGTTCTGCAGTCACGCGCCACCAGTGTTTTCAACCATTCAAGTGAGCTGACTCCATCGCGGTTGTGTTCCATCATTCTTTTTCTCGTGGAATTGAGTTGACTAGTTGACTGAAAACCCTTTGGGAACCACAAAGTGGTGTAGTGAAACAATAGCAGTGTAGAGTGGTGGTTGAGGTTAAACCGTCATTCTTGTGCCATTTTGGCTCAAGAATGACAGCAGCGATCCCCTTTTGATGAATTTGCCATGTACCTCGAGATTGTGATCGTGGTTTCGTTGGTCACTGGCATTTTCCTAGGGCTGCTGTTTGCTTGGTGCTGTTGTTCATCTCCGCGAAAGGCGGCGCCAGGAAGCACATTGGCTCCGGCCTTGATTGGCCCTCGGGACTTCCCTGGCCTTACGCGTGGCAAGACAATTGTTACCCACCGACGTTGAACTCGCTGGTCTTCGGTCGATTGCCGATGTTCGCACCTGGGTTGGCTTGGGAGATGCACCATGGCAAGCTATGTCAGACTGCCTAGGTGGGGTGGACAACCTTCGGGTGCTGGCTTCGCTTCCAGCCGCGACATTGCATCCGGCATTTGAGAGGGCGCGAATTCCCGCCACAGCTTTGGCAGAACGGGTGTATGCAGCTGTGGAGATCATTCAGATTGGGTTGGTGTGGCGCATTTCTAGACAGGCATATGCCCTTCCTGACATTGACCCTCTTGTTCCTGAGTCCGCTCATGTTTCAAGTGCAGCAGCTGCAGGGTTTGCAACACCTGCCTCTATTCGTACGACTGGTTCACCAACAAAGCGTGTGAAGATGTCGACTGCTGTTGACCAACTCGATGAATCAGAAGTTGATTTGTTGGATGGCAGTGAGATTGAGCAGTCGTATGGGAATTTTAGAGAAGCAGTTGGGGCTGACCCTTTGGTTGATGCTGATCCTACGGTTGAGCAAATTACAGCTATGCACACCAAAGTGCTGAAGAGAAATGAAGCTCCCTATGCAGATTTCTCAGCCCTCTGTTTCTAAGAGTTTTCTGCCAGCAGGGGCGTGCAGCATCTGTGGTCCACTGCACTCAACGAAGCTACGACCACAGATGGGAAGGGATCAAGGACGCTTGATCCTGTACCTGCTGACCAACGCACTGACTCCAATGGTCCACCCTGTCGCTGTCTTTTTGTTTCTATGGTTCTTGCATGATACTTCCCCCAAACCCTTTCTTCCAGCTGAGCCGCGCTGACGTTTGCCACCGCCGTTTTTCGTGAGCTGCAGATGTGCGCAAACCATTTTTTGAAACACCTTCAAGTACTTGGACGCTTCACCTTTCCGTTGAGTCAGCCACTCTTTTCTTCGGGGAATTGATGTAACTGCAAACCCATTGTCTAAGTGTGTGTTGACTGCCGCCTTCATTATATATTCAGCTTGTTTTGATTGTGTTGAGCTTTGCTGCTTGGCCCCAGGCGTTGGCGATGTTGTTGGGTTGCTGCTCCCAGTGCGCATGAAAGCAGGCTGTGCCTAATAGATAGCAGATAGCAGAGATAAGCACACCAAGGACAAGGTGTATCGTGTCAGGATAGTCTAGTGTATAATGTGAGGTACAAATCTGGCACCACGGTGGAATGAAGGCAGTTTCACTCATACCGTGCTGCAGTTTAGCCAGCTGCTCCCTTCATCAACACGAGGAAGACTTGTTGGAGTTGGCTCTAGAGTGCTTAATGCCGCAAAATGGTGTCTCCCATTGATCTGAATTCAGGGCACAAATCGGCAAAATAATATTGAACCTGCGTGCCGCCCAAATAATTTTTCTTCTCCGCTGCCATGTGTGAGTTCCTGAGTTGTGTGGCAAAAGGGCCCACTGTAGTCCAAACTCACCAATTTAATGTTTAACAGCCCGAAGAAGAAACTACGATCCAGATTGTATTGCACTCCGTACATCACTTACAGGGTGTTTTGTTATTCACAAAACCTGCAAAAGGTGCGTGCCCAAAGCTCAGTTCGCTTAGCAACATTCAACTTTGCAAATTGCAAAGTGCGGCCTCAACATCCTCAAACTTGTTGTTTCTATTGCAGAGATACATCGAGGTGATGGCGATTGCTTTTAGAACCAGTTTGCAGCCTCAGAGTTCCTAGGATGCAGAACAGGCTGTCGGGTTGGGACAGATTCCACGGTGCGATAGACTAAGGTACCAGAAGATGGCGGCCAGACGTGACCCTGGCTACTCATACACTTTTCAGTCCAATTGTTTCAATCCACTTGAATGCCGTGCAGTTGTTACTTTTTACACTTCCAGTTGTTTGCAACCTGGTGCTGGAAAGCCAGATTGGTTTCGGACTGGTTGCCTTTATGCTATGGATTGCTGTGCGAAATGGTCCTGTGCTTATGACTTGTGATTTGCATTTTGCGGTGTTCTTGACAAAAGGAGAACGACTCTTCAAGTTATGAATAGCTCCGCCGTTTGATGATTTTGTTCAGCCAACGTCGGCAATGATTGCCAGGCGATTGCAGTGGCTTTGCATTTGGCCCCATTGTAGCTCACCAAAACATATCAAAAGAGCATCATGCACAGAGACCGAGCTACACTTTTGAATGCAATGGACTTCTGCGGCGGGCAAAGATTCAAGCATCCACGTTTGGCAAATTCAATTTGAAGCAAGCATGCTTACAAGGTTGGAACTTTGGTTGTTTTGGAGCAATATGGAGCAATTCTTTCTTTTCGTGAACTTGGTAGTTTTGCCTGTTTTGTCAAAGGCAAGCACGCGCTCGCAGCGCATTCCACAGGCTGGGAATTGGAATCACTATTTTTGTCCTTTTGCCAAGCCATTGCCCACCCAAGGATCAAAGGACAGGAAAACAAGCTGAAACAAGAGCAACCGGGACAGCACTGCAAGCTAAAAGAGCGGTGAGTACTTGAAGCACCCCCACTCCGTACATCGGTGCTTGGTGTTGGAACAGGTGGCCTTGCTTGCAAAAAGCAGTGACACCTTTGATCCTTGGACCGTGAGGGGCCTGTGCCAGATTTCCTCAAGCCGTTTCAATTACACAAGGTTGCGGGTTCCAGAAGTCCTGTCAAAGTTGGAGAAGTGCCAAGCGTATATCCAAATGCTGAGGTCCTGCAGATCTCTCCAGATGCAGGTGTGGAGGAGGTACGCTTAAGCTACAGGTGCAAGGAAACACATTTAATTAGCCTGGCTGGACACCAAGGCCAAAAAAGCCTACAGAAAGCTAGCAGCAAAGTGGGGGACTTCAGAACTTCAGAGATGCGTGACAGACTTGACTCTTAGACTCCAAGGTACCATCCGGATGTAGACCCATCCCCAAAAGCTTCAGCCGCTCCCCTAGTTCGACCATGCACATCTCTCCTCCAGTGTCGGACAAGCCTGGAGAAGTGCAGGACATGTTCCAGAAACTTGTGCGGGCGAACGCAGTCATTACTGGGGAGGAGCTGCCCAGCTGGATGTTGAGAGGTTCTGAAAATATGCTTTCACGGGCGACACTCCAGGACAAAGGCCTGGATGAGACAACGCTGCTCACAAATGCTGCCAACAATCTTCGCCATCCTCTCGGCATGTAGAACGACAAGGAAAGAGTCGCCATCCCCAAGCATCAAATGTTGCATTTTCCGCAAGAGTTGAACCTACATTCTTTTGGTGGAAAGGATTGAGTGACCCTTGCCTGAGCCTCATAATGTGCCGTCGAACTCGTGTCCTAGGTGACAACATTGAATTCCAAAAAGAGAGAATTGAACGGTTGAAGCAACAGGCCAGGAGTTGTCTGGATGCTAGAGCTTAATCACTTACAATGGAGTTCCAACAGCAGCAGGCTGCTGACGAAGAGCAAAGGGTGCAAGAAATGCAGGCACTTGCTCATGCCTCAAAGATGCGGAATCAAAGCAAGCGGTTTGTGGCAAGGAACAGCAGAAGAAAGCTGAAGAGAAGCGTGATCAGGCTGGTGGAGAAGTGGCATCGTGACTTGACCACTGTGCCCTTCGCGCTCTTGCAGAAGCTTCATGGTTTGGGTCATTGCTAGCATGCACCAGGGCAAGGGCTAGTGAGGCAGTGTTCAGAGTTGGCCAGGGAACAGTATTTCGGCGATCTCATTCCTTTGCGTCAGTTGACCATTTGGGATTCCGCTATGATTAGATATTCCTCATCCGTTGCATTCCTGCTTGGTCTAAGATGTGTTCTGGGCTAATTATGACTGACGTCCGTCGGTCCGTTCCAATTTGCTTGTTATTCGTTATTCTAATATATAATAATATATGTATACCGCCGGAGCATTTGTTTGCAAAGCTGGTGTGCAACCGTCAGGTTGGAGATATGATGCATTATGACACAATCTTTAGATGTCGTATGATGCCGTCCAAATTGTTTGCAAAAGATCCGCGATGAGATGTGCCTTTTTTCTCCACCCGGCGGGTGAGGATCTCTAGAGTCTAGAGCATAACTCCTCTCCTCTCCTCGCCAGCTCGGTCTCAGCACACACCGACAGACCTGAACACTATAGGGAGCTCCAGCTCCATTTGTGCACACGCGAAAAAACTTCCGATGATGGCAGAAAAACTCCCTTTTTTCTTCACCCTTGAACATTATTCTTTTTTGCACTCCCATTGTTTCAACCCTCGAAACCTTTTTTCCACTCTCTAGAACCCCTTTTCCCCCACCCTCTGGAACCATGTTTTTTTCATGTTTTTTCACCAATCTTATATAAACCTCATTTTTCACCCTGCACTGTGTCATGTTCACCGTGTAGCGTGTTTCTTTCACCCCTCACTTTGTCTTTTTCACCCCTCACCCCTTCTTCACCCTTGACCCTTTCTTTTCAACCCTCCGCCGGTGAGGCAGGTAACCCTGGAACCTGCACAGAGACTCTCCGGAACGATGTCACCTCCGGTTTGCGTCACCCCGCTTGTTTGCGCCCTCCAAAACGTTTGTTCTCACCTTAAGAACACTTTTGTACTAACCCTTGAAAGCGGCCAAGCCAACAAACCATCCAACCAACCCAGCCACCAACAAACCAAGCAACCAAACCACATAACTCTGTGTTTTTCCCAAATGCTGTCGATACTTGGATTACATTGCGGGGGAGGCGCTGCGCCTTTGCCCGCGCCCGTTCCCGCCTTTATTTACACAGCGTCCATCCATCCATCCATGCATCCATCAACGGAGTGCCAACCAGCCAACCAAGCAAGAAAGCGGTCAAACCAACAAACCACCCAACCAACCCAGTGCCCAACAAACCAAGCAACCAAACCACAAAACTCTATATATATATATATTAAATATACATTTTCCCCAAATGCTGTCGATACTTAATTAGTTTGCATTGCGGAGGACGCGCTGTGCGCTCCCCCGCACCCCCTCCCCCTTTATCTACAGAGCGTCCATCCATCCATCCATCCATCCATCCATCCATCCATCCATCCATCCATCCAACAAGCAAAAAACAGACAAAGTTGCATATCCATCAAGCATTGTATCACGCAATCCATCCACATCAAGCAAGCCAACCAACCAAAAAGTAACATTTGTTTGCCTGTCCATGACCCATCAACCACTGTATCATGCAATTAATCCACATCAAACTAGCCAACCAACCAGCACACTAACCAAAGGAAGGAGGGTGACAAAGAAAGGGTATACGGTAGAGGGTCAAAAAGAAAGGGCGGAGGGTGAAAAAGGAATGTTCAGAGGGTGAAAAAGAAAGGTGGAGGGTGGGAAAAAGGGCGGGGTGAAAAGAAGGGTTCAAGGGTGAAACAATTGCACCAGAAAAATATGTCAAACGTTATGCCGCTGTGCCAGATAGAGTGCAAGAAAGGATGTCAGAAGACACACCAGAAAGCATGTCAGAAGATTTGCCAGGTAGAACGTCAGAACGCATAGAAGAATACATGCCAGGTAGAAAATGTCAGAAGAGATGCCAGAAAGAATGTCAGAGGATATGCCAACTAGCACGCCAGGTCTAGATAGACCCCCCGTCTGGCATCAGCTTATCACGCCCTCTCACGATGGAGGGGGAATATTATCAGAAAACAACGTGCAGGGCCATCACATATCATGGCTTGAGCGCAGGAAAACATTGAACGCACAGCAGGATTCTATAGCAAAATTCAGGATTCTATATATAAGACCGCAAGTTGTCATGTTTCCGTGGAAACTCTTTTTTTGTGCAACCGAACACTGTAACCATAGGTCGACCTACAGGAATGGAAAACCGAGGTAAAGCAAAGGTGGGATCAGAAGCGGAGAACCTCTATTGTCCGAAGAACCTCTATCTTACACTTGGCCATTTGGAAGCGCGTAAAACAAGGCATTCGTGTAAGTGTAAGGCGTTTGTTGCTGCAAACCTTGAGAGCTTGCAACCCCATCACAGCCCTCCTACGCCTACTCTCCCTTTAAGATCATATGCCCCATGAGCCCACCCAATCGCCTTGCCCATGGAATGCGGCTCTAACTTATCCTGCTCATCCTTGTTGTTGCCCTGCCAAAGAGAACGAAACAATTTTTATCTAAATAGTCACTATCAACAGATGAATTTTGGATAGGAAAGCGTAACATTGAGTATCATATCACATACATCTCTTGTCCGAAAGAACAAATCGCAAGTCTTTGTGGAACCGCTCAGGAAAATGACACTGTTTATCACTTATCACATACATTCATTGCATCTCATGTTCAGCAGAACGAATTGCCAGCCTCTGCGTCTGCAACGTCCAGAATATGCAGCTTCCATCGGGCTTCTTCCACTTCCCTGATGCACCATGTTCACAAACCCGACGACAAAGATGGGAAACACAGCGCGCAAAGAACTGCAGGCAATCAAAAGTGAGATCATCATCGACCACGGTCATCACTCACCAAGAACGGTCAGGCGTTACCGATGCGAAACGCTAGGAAAACTTGATAACGCATGGTCCCGTTCACTTGCCTGTTGATGAAACCCTTAGCGTGTTTTTGGTCGATGTTGGCTTACACATTAAGATTATTGCCTGGAAGTTCACCAGGAAACGTCTCCTCCAAGAACATCTAGAACTCAACACAGATTTTCTATTATTGATTTCTCCGCCCAAATGGCCAATGTTAGCGCAGGTGAAGCAAAACCTGACTCCGACGACCGGTATTTCTTAAAACAACATGAAAATAGATAAGTTGCCCGCCCTCGCCGGTAGTAAGTCCAGTCGGGTATCACTTAGAATGCCATGAAAGGATGCCAGATAGAAAGGAACTCTTAGGAGCCTGCCCATTGCCAGATTGCGTCCTTCAGTCGGAGCGTCGCAACCGAGCGTCGGGTCTGGACCAGCGACGGAGTGGCTGCTTCTTTGACTTCGCTTGGGTGTTTGGTGGCGCCGGAGGTGAGCTGGAAGCCTGGACGTGGTGCTTTGCGCGGGCACTGGCGCACGGCAACAAGCGCCTGAAAAGTTTCAAGACTTGTCTCTTGCAACGAAACATAGCCTAGCATTGAAGTCATTTGAAGTCTGTCCTCAGTCAATGGCTGAAATTCTTTCAGCGTCGCGTCACAGCAGTGTTGACCAATGAAAGCCAATGGCCCAATGGCCAACGTTTCGAACGCATCCGAGCGCAAGATATAGTGCATCGATGTTGCGCAGACGGCGGAGAGGGTTTGATGATTGAAGAGCGCCAAAAGCATTAGCGTCGAAAGCGGCGTCGGCAAGCGCAGACGAGCTGGCAGTGGATGAATGGTTGCCGTTGCCGTTGTGAATTCAAGATGCTTGGCGCATTCAAGGATCCTTCACGTGTGACACGTGTGCCCCGAGAAATCTACTCTGATGTTGTCAAAAGCTGGATAAAGTTGGGTCATGTGAGGGTGATTGAGGGTGCTCTCAAACATTGGAAAGGCGCGCGGGCAGCGCCGTGCCTTTAGAAGAAAAGTTTGCAAATTCTGTTCAACTAGAACGGTCTCTTGTCTTCTTCCAAACCAATCACCTTTCAAGGCCGGGATCACTCGTAACCGTAGAACACTTTTCCGTTTTCTTGTATACAACTATTGCGTCTTTGATTCGTGAACTGCCGCAACGATTCTTCTCACTGCCCTCACAGTGCGTACGGCGGAAGGGATTCTCCGATTCTTGTCCGCGTTGCCGCGGGCTAACAAACTGAGAGCTCAGCTTGTCCTTGCGGCCCTGACAGCCTGGCAGGGTGTACAGGATTGTCCTTCCAATGCATAGATCTTCCGCCGCCGTGACAACGGGGCAACTATCGGCCGCCCTGACAGGTTGCGCAGACGTTTGTGCATGGTGTGCATTCTGGGGAGTTCGCAAGTGAGCTGTCGCAAAAGTATGAATGTCGCGGTTCTAACCTTGAGCTCCCTCCAATTCCCCGAGCGGCGTTAGTTAGTCTGTGTTGGTGGGTGGCATGAGGGCTGGACTGGGTTGTGCATTATTGCAAATCTCCACCAGGGCATTCCTCAAGGTTTGTCACAGATGCTGCGTGTTACCCTAGAGTAACTGTAGCAACTCCCAACCTTGCGTGCAGGTCATGCTACAAGATGCTTGCCTCTATAAGTAGTTCTAGATATGGTTTTAGAACCATGTTTCGCGATGAGGCGGCAAAAAGTCAGTGAACAAAAACATCAACGGAAAATAGCAAAACTGATTACTGTAACCCACTAAATATATGCGGGTTTCTTGTGTTTGCCTTGTCCGATGCCTTTTTCCCTTTGCTGCCAGTCTGCTGCTTCAGTTCACATCGGCTCCATTCATTTTCCTCGTTGGAGAAGTCGCGCGATCTGCCACGTCCCCCCAAAGTAGCCGGTACATGTTGTATCAAGAATCAATGTGGATGATTCTGCGAGAGCTGGTAAGAGTGCGTCTAGAATTGTCGCGAAGCAGGGTTCACAAGCACAGGCAACGATCTTATTTTTACTTTATGTTTACTTTATGTTTTTGGTGTACAGTCCGGGCTTTGGAACAAAGTAAGTTGAGAGCTGGAAACACGGTGGTTTGGCCCAAAGCGTTCGAATGTCCATGCTCATTTCAGACTAGGCTCACCCACTGTGCAAGATGCCGAAGGAAGTCGAAGGAGAGAATGCAGCGGCACTTGAATCTGACTTGAGCCTTGGCTCACTCTTCAATGTTGAAGGAAAGGTGGCTTTGATTACAGGTGGCGGTTCCGGCATTGGTGCCATGATCGCATCTGGATTTGTACAAAATGGATGCCGGGTGTACATAGCATCTCGAAAGGACACCTCCAAGTATGCTGAGGAGTTGACCGCACGAGGTCCCGGGAGCTGTGCTGCCCTGGTTTGTGATGTCAGCAAGTTGGAACAACAAAGAAAACTGATTGAACAAATTCAAAATGCTGAGGGCAAACTGCACATTCTGGTGAACAACAGCGGCACAAATTTCAATGCGCCTTTGGGAAAGTACAATCCGGAGATGTTTGACAAAGTCATGCAGCTCAACACCAATGCAGTATTTGCTTTGACACAATTGGCCACTCCTTTGCTTGAATCATCAAGCTCCAGGGAAGATCCAGGGCGAATAATCCATATCTCCTCAGTGAACGGCTTGCAGCCTCCTTTGATTGATACCTTTGCCTACAGTACTTCCAAAGCGGCGCTGGTCATGCTATCGAAGCATCTTGCTGGTGCCCTTGGGCCAAAACACATCACTTCCAATTGCATTTGCCCTGGGCCGTTTATGTCCCGCATGATGCGAGCAACAGTCAAGGCTGTTGGAGAAGACAACATTGCTGGCAGCACCTCCCTTTTGCGCCTTGGACAGCCTGAGGACATTGCAGGGGCGTGCCTTTTCCTTTGCAGCAAAGCTGGAGGATATGTCACTGGAACAGAATTTGCCCTTGATGGTGGTTCCCTGATTTGTCGGACGCCTAAAAGCAGCTTTTGAGCTCCTGCTTGGGATGAGCAAGGTCATGAGGCCCGTATTTGTTCCAGCCGGGTAGATATAGGAACGAACTTTGACAGACAAGGCAGCAATAGATAAAAAGGGAGCACTCTTCAGTGGTGGCATGAACCTTGCCCTTGCGAGAAGCAAACCTTAGCTCCTAAGCCATGTGCTTCTGTTATGCTTCGGCGACAGGTGAGTGGCGAACTTGGACTTCTCGGTGGCAGTATTCTTGGATTGGTTGTTGGTGGGCCGACAGGCTTGGATTATGCAACATCATACAACCCAATTTTGACCAGAGCGACTTTTAGGTATTGAATCCAAAAGCGCATGTCATGAATTCTCATGATCTTGTTGCACAAGTAGTTTGTCCGTTGTCTATTGACTTTCTTGGTTTCCGGACTTAGTCGAGCTGTAGGCCTCATATTGGGTGCTGTTGGCGGCATTGCTTTGGGTAAGCGCAATGACAGCATTGGCAAGGCTTTTCTTGGCCAAAGCTTTCGTCATTCATCTAGGGAATCCAGGGGAGCAGCAAAGCTCAGCAGAGCTGCGCCAGGTGATTCGCGGAGCAGGAACTTTGGTGAAAGGGATTTTTGATGCAGTTGGAAAGGCTGCGGGCAAAAGTCCTGAATGAATGAGCATTGGCTTTTTGGCCCTTCAACTTCCGTATCAACTAGTTTAAAACTATACATCATTTACAATCATTTGTATACATTGAGTTTGCAAGGTGCTGGAATCTAAGATTATTTGCTTTTGCTGCGTCATTCCCAGATTATACATGGTTTCGCAGCGAGAAGACAGCTGTCTTTCTCAGCTTGTGGGATGAACTCACGGGCACGCTTGCTAAGAATCCAAGGATAGTTCTCTCAATTTCTGAAAGTGACCGATGAACGGCTCACAGCAAGTCGGGCAGACATCTTGTTTGTATAGTCTTATATATAAATTATATGTATATACACAGTTTTCTCGAAAACATAGTACTCTTTGAAGCACTGCTTTGTTTATTTGCAAGATTCCAGTTTTCCCACAGCTGTGACCCTACCATCGTGGGAGCGCGCCAAGTCAGCTTAATCAGCTGATGCTCGACCGCTGTCGCAAATTATTTGCGTACCCGCGTTGGAGTACCTGCGCGCTCCTCCAAGCTTCGACTTTTTAAAGAGCAGGTGTCACTCAGCAAGAAAATGACAAGCCAAATATGGACATCCGCCAAGTTTAGGGACTGCCACTAGCCCTCGCCACTTGCCGTTTTGCTATCCGTTTCTCCCGTGAAGATTCGGGTACCACGAAAGGGCAAAGAAGATCAAACCAGTTCTTTTGGTGTCACTGATCAGGTGAGCATGTACATTGTCTACACAAAGGAGCTCTCCATTCTGCACGACAAAAGAGGCCTTAACATGTCTTAACTGGATAAGTTCCAATCAGCACTGCGTTGCAGCCGTTGTAAACCTCGCATTGCCTTAATACGGCTGCCAGCAAAAAATATCATAATGCTTAGGCCTATCACATTAATATACATTAATACATGGCAAACACCTGGAAGCCAATTGCAAGCACCGATCAAGCACTGCTTGTGATGTGTGAGTGTTTTTAAAGAGAACGAATGCACATGTACAGCACAACAATCCGCAAAAGGACATACAGCAGAGCTTTTGACAAGTTACTAGTGCTGTTTGGAAGCCGGCAATTGTGCTGTTGGTCGGGAATAGGTGACGGCAAGGTCCCTCAGCATAGGAATGTCGGCTATATTGCAAATGCTCCTTCGAATCCTGTAGAAGAGGCTTTGAAGGCTGAAATAACAGATTGAGATGGAATACTATTTCAGAATGTCTCGCACCTGAGCCTCTGGCGTGCCTCTGGCATGGGCCGTGCCTGCTTCGTGTGGGCTTTACTGCTCGGAGCTGCCCACTGAAAGCATTAGTTAGCAAGGCATGTTGTACATCTTTGTAATTACAATAGTCTTCTTTTGAGGTTATGTATGAACTCTTTCAGTATTGTCAAGGCTGACCAGATGTGGAATGCATTCTCCGACTTCGACTGCACTATCCTTGGGGACTCTCTTTTGAACCCTGTTGGGACAAAGACTCGAATGCTTTTTGACAAAATTAATACCTTTGAGGTGTTTCACTTGTCCCGACGGGGGGTTGGGCTTGCCGTTCGGAACTTGATCCAAGTGTTGCTGTGTTCGGACGAGCTTAGACCAGTGCCAAAGAATTGAAGCCACTACCCAAAGATTATGTGTTCTTATGAGTATCAGATTTCTCCATTCTGCGCTGCTCAAGATAAGGTCCTGGTCAGCACAGCGTTTGGCACTTCCACCACAGAAGAAGTGGCAAACACTACCAGCACCACTTCAGTACGCAGACACTCTGCAGCTGCAGCTGTTGTTTTGTTGACAGTGAGTTGAAAGTTTCACATCAGTAAGTGAAGCGAGACATCCCTGGGAAGATCGGATAGGCTGACTATTTTGCAGGTTCCTGAGTTCTCATACTATGTTGGGGATTGGGCAGCTTGCTCGACGACTTGTGCAATTGGAAACCGGTTGAGAGAGGCGCTTCATAGAGTCTATGACAGAACCTTGCTTCAGGGGGATGCTATTACCTATTTATTGCATGAGCTGTGGCTTGAGTCAAATTGTCCAAGTATGTGGAGCCCCGTTTGTGCACAAGTGTTTGGTTGCAGGTATTTTGCTACAGGACATGCTCAATTCCTCGTTCATGCACATCAGGAGTCACAGACTTCCACTGCCCGGATCCTTAGCATGCTGTCCCCGGACTGCATGTGGTTCTGCGTGGAATGTCCCACTCATGATTCGGCTCCAAGCGCCTGAGCCAATATCCGTCAAACATGTTAAAAGAGGCTGCTACACAGTCTTGCTGCTGGTAACAACTTTCTTAGTGCAATCTAGTGCACCTTACGAGCCTGAACTTTCCTCGACACCTCCCACCCACTGGGACCCCGATCATACGTACCTGTACCTAGGATTTGGAGATATGTATGTTTCAGGTAGCGTGTTTCTCATCGGCACATACATATATACTCCAAACTGGCCTGAATTTGAGGTATGTATGTATCTGCAGCCAACATGTATCTTGGGGTGGGGCAGCTACCACCTGGAGAAACCTGCATACTAGATCATACTTGTACCTCAAAATGTTCATGTCCTGGTATGTATGTTTCTCCATGCAACATTATTTCAATCTGGGCTGAATTTGATGTACTGTACGTAAGTTTCTCCAGGTAATATGCATACTTCAAGCTGGGCTTCATTTGAGGTATGTATGCTTTTTTGAGGAAACATGCATGATTCGAACAGTGCGGAATTGGAGGTATGCAGATGCATGTTTCTCCTGGTAACATACATGCTCCCAACTGGCTGATTTTGAGGTATGTATGTTTCTCCATGTTATGTATGTGACCAGTTGCCACAATTAGTGTGCAGCCACTTTAGTTTAACTAGTTGATAAATCACATCGGGATATTTGTTTGGCTTTTGTTTAAGAGGCGGCATACAGCTAAAGTAAGCAATTCTGCAAAGCAGCGCTAGCAAATCCGCTAGAAAAGCGCTAGGTTTGAATGCGTCTCATATGAGCAGCATCGAAAAACCTCCATGATTAAATTACGTAACGGACTTGTTTTGGAGCTGTTCTTGAATAAGCCCTGCAGTTCTATCCGGTCCCAGGGTTTGAGATTGCTGTAAGGGATTGCTGTTGTGAGTAGTCTTACCACATGGTTTATTAGAGCGACTGAGTGTGGTAATAGGTACATCGTATTGTACAATCTCCAGATTGTTTCTACAGTGTGATTGTCGCTAGCGTAGCCGCTAGCAATCTGCTAGGTGACCTCTGTGAGTTGCTCCCCTTTTGCGGCCCAAATTGAATCTCCTTACTTTCAGTGTGTGGCTATGTTGATGCCTGTGGAGAATGTTGTCACAGTATGTAACAGTCAGTAACTCTTTGAAAGATTGCTGAAAGGGATCCAGAGTGGATCCAGTAACTCTTTGAAGGGCTCAAGTGGTATCCAACCCACGCTCCAAAGTGGATCCTAGTCTTTGTTCATGATGACTCTTGCCGTGGTGCCATTTGCAGAGCCACAGGATGTGCTTGGCATGTGCCAAGGCTGGAGCCAGTTATGCTTTTGCAAGCAAGGGCTTGTGGACACCCTGCCGCCACTCCGTGAGTGACGTGGAAGAAAGGCCTTCATCTCTTCTTCAGCCACGATGGCCTTTGGCCCGGTGTAAAGTGGATGGCCAACTCCAGAGCCAAGGGAGGGTATGCCAGATGAAGAGCCTGCTGCAGCCGCTCGAGGGAGATGGTGTCATAGAAAGTTGACGTATCCATCAAAGCCATAATGCCATGCTTGTTGGTGGCCTTCGTCGTGATCTCCTTCCTCATAAGCCGTGCCAATGCCACGTAAAGCACGTTGGCGCCTGGGCAAGCTTATGCGAGCTTTGTCGTGATCCATGGAAGGTGGTAGGTTGATTTGCCACTCATCCAGGATGTCCTTCCTGCGCCATACACGCTATATAACTACCGAGGTCAAGGTGATGGGCCGCTCAGTTCGAACATTCTTGGCCAGCGTCACCACCATGTGCATTCGGAGCTGGGTAGGAAGACATGCATCCTGTTCCGTTTGCTGGATGAGCTTCAGTGGTGGCAGGGACAGTGGCTGGCAAGCAGCTGCTGATGGGCCCACTCGCGCGGTCAGGCATGCTCTTGCACCAGTGTGTGTTATCCTGTCTGGGAATGGCCGTGCTTTCACCACGTGGTCGCGATAGGGCGCCTCAGTCTCTTGTAGCCTGACAGTCATTCGGTCTTCCGTGGACACGTTCCTGTAGGGTCGTTCCATCCATTGGTGGCTCGATACTGTGCTTCTTGTTGCTGGTACTGTAAGGTATGATGGCGGATGATGAATGTTCCAATGGTGACAGGTGTTGAGGAAGTGGCTCCAGGTGCATCCTTGATAACGCGCTGAAGCCTTTGGTGTGTCCTCCTGCCATTTGCCGTTGTAAAGTTGTTTGCCTTCACTTGTTCCCAATATGTAGGCAGGCTTAGCTCCGGCTTTGGGTGGGACCAAGAGCTCGGTGCCCGTGTGAAGCGTGGCTCCGCGTCCTTGAGCAGCTTTTGGATGGGCTTGGAGAAGGTATTGCATCTAGTGCGCCCAGTTTCGCGCAGGGTTGTTGACCTCATTGCTGTAAAGCTCAATGGTTGTGGCCTGGGGCGCGTATGCGGCCCCGGGTCGGAAGTCAATGTCTGGCGAGCGTGGCAGCTGTTGAAAGTACTAGATGTGGCAGTATTGGCGAAAAGTCTCCTCCAACTCGAAGCCAAAGGTGAGTAGCGCGGGAACTGCCCAGTCCGTTTTGGAGGTGCAGCCGGCGAGCTTGCGGTGGAGAGGGACAAATCCAGAACGACCGTGGCCCGGAATGCGTCAGGCTGGTTGTTCCAATCTCCCAGGACTACAAATGAGAGAGCCAAGTGATGTGTTTGGAATGTTGCAGAGTGGGCACATCTTTGGTGGCTCTGCGCTGGATCGCTCCCTGTGCCCATGTCGTTGACATTGCAGCTTGATTTCAATGACGTATGGCCTGCGTGCTTGGCTGGTTTCTCATGGATGTAGTGCTTCATGTCCTTGAAATGGCAGCGAGCCGCAGCCTCGCATGGTCGTAGATCTCCTTGTAATCGTCATTCTCAAAAGTTTCCTGCCAATCTTCTTGCTTGCGGTCACACAGTCTTGAGGAACATTCCTATGCTGTGAGGCCCGTGTCACGAAGATGGCTGCATAGTGCGTCGCGCGAGGGTGTCCCAGAAGAGTGTTCCACAAGAGTGCCCAAACAAGAGCACCGCGTACAAGACATGAGCGTCAAGCAATGTTTGGCCGTGCGTTTTCGATTGCGTGGATTCGAGTTTGTGGGCTCCATTTTGTTTGCGCGAGCGGTCTTTCACCTGCCATTCCGAAAGTCAGAAAGCCAGCCTCAACTGGCCAGACCAGGGACGCTCCTGATTGAGCTGGACGCTGGGTCACATATCTGCTTCAATTTCAACACCTGACGGTACCAAGTAGAGCTCAACGCAGTCTCGTATGTTGTTGTGCAAACAGGGGCCAATGCACTCCACCAACTTGCGTCCGTCAATCGTTCGTCGATCGTTCTTTCCATGGCTGGATTCCTTTGCGCTCGTTTTGCCCTGGAACCTTTCCACCTAGGCATTTGGGCATGTGGCATTCAGACCAAACGCATGATATCTCGAGTGTGTGGGTGGGAGTGGCCAATGGGCCTCCCCACCCCCAAACAAACTTATTCGGAAGCGCGTTCTGTGGTAGGGAGGTGTTTCCCCAAAGACCGGTATTGAGTGGGGGGTGGACACGGGGTTCCCCACCACCAAAATGGCTTGTTTTTTTCTGCCTTGACACTGCGTCTATGGTTTGATGACCGGCGCGACTGGCATGTTGGTCATGTTGGAAACATTTGCTTGGAAGAAAGGGTCCCTAATTGTAAGCGTTGTTTTTTGCAAGTATATAATTGCTTACCAAATTTCCACATTTGCAACTTCCGGCACTGAGTGGAGCGAGTGCAGAGGTACAAACATTGAGAAACCAAGCAGTTCAGAGCTATGCTACGGCGCCGAACCATTTTGTCCTGCCCTGGCCCCAACATTTGTGATTTTGTGTGTACTCATGATGAGTTCACGTTTGAGCCTTTTTTCATAAAAGCCGAGAACCTGGTGCAAGCTTTCTCTAAGGCCACGACCACCATCACATCTTCCATAAGTATCACCAGAACAGCGACCACTTCAACTGCCACTGTTGGAGCGGCAGACATTGGGAGTTGAAGTTCTGCTTTGACATTGACAATATACTTGTAGGTAGGGTGAAGAGGTGCACAGGTGTTGGCCAAAACTCGCAGATGTTGTCAGACCGGTGGAGCCTGAGGTAGTGACAAAAACTACCACACGAGGAGTACGGGATGGCTGGGAATGCGCCGGAAACTAAGATTTGGTCAGGCAAACTCTAATTAGAGCCAAGCGGGATGTCGGTTTTTGTCTCAGAATGCTTAGCATGAGATTCCTGAACCATGAGTTGGTTGGGGTTCTCGTAGAGATGTGGAGCGCTGTGAACACAGACATTCCCACAGGCATTCCGCCCTTTCAGGTTCCGCTGGAAACAAACGACTGCGTTCCTGCACAGATAGTGTTACCCTCAGAACTTGAAACTTTGAGTATTGTTTTTTTTAATACTGTACTTGTTTAAAACCTACATAATGTAATTAAATATGCATATATATATATATATGTGAAGTGGCTCATGAACGCGGTTTTCCAACCAACCCTAGGGGCACTTGATCTAATGTTCGCGGAATGGCTGAACAATGAAATTTGCACTCCCCCCCATTCCCCATGGGTAGAGGGTGAGTTACAGCCTGGAGGAAACATTCGATCAAACCAACAACCGCACACAAAAGAAAACCCGGCACACAACCAAACAAACTAGGAGTCCTTGTTGCTCTGTGGTTGTTGCTGTTGCTGGTGTTCCATCTGTTCAGGTTGTGATGGTGTATGTTGTGTGTCCTCGATATCGACGAGTTTAAGTCCTGCTGCCCTGCGCTTCTTCTGGGATGCTCGAACTTCATCATGTCGAATCCTCCACCGTTGTCCAAGTTGTAGGTACAGCCAACCTTGACCCTTCTCTGAAGTTTTTGTCAAAACATTGGCTGACATGCCTCCTCCATCGACCCAGCAAATCTCCACATCGCCCTTCAACAGATTCTGTCTGAGACTCATGGCCTCTATGCCGGATCTTTTCTCTGTGCCTTTCACTGATGGAGTGGCACGGACCAACTTGTCACTTGTCAAAAAGGTTCTTTGCATCCGTAATGAAAAGTCCCTTGACCTGTTTTGCGGTGCTGTCAACATCTCTTGTATTTACTGTCTTTCCCTGCATCTCTGCCCACAAAAATCGTAAAAAGGTAAGGTCGTCTTCTCCGTCTAGTCCAGCCATGCATTCAGCGCTTGCCGGAGATCGACAGATCCTATCGATCTTACCGGACCGCCAATGAATTGCTGTCACCCGAGCTTCTTGACCTTCCCTCAGATGTCTTGTGGTCATCCCCATGAAGATCCCTTCCGCCGATTGGCATGAGCAGCATCTGTCCAGACTGCTAACTCTAATTCTTCCTTTGGATCAAAGGCGTGTATCTTGTACACCTGGTCTGCAGTCTTTTTGATGTTCCGAATCAACTTGTTGGTTTCATTGATGTCGGACACGGTGCTAGTTGGTACCTTTGTCAGCAAAATATCAACAGCGAAATAGATACTGTCTGACTTGTCAGCCATGACAATGAACCCAAAGCTCCTCTCTTCATGGTCTTCTCATGATCTGTAGTAGGGCTCTCTGTTACCCTGCTTCTATCTCTAGACAAACGAATCTCCTCTAAGTCGTTGATGAACTTTGATTGTCGCATGTCAATGCTGTAATCTGGGTTCTGTTGTATTTCAATGCCACATTGAACAAAGTGCTGACTCTCCCAGGTGCCCCACTTGAACCGTGTTTTCAATGCTTGCATCAGGCCTTGGTGGTCTGCACACCCTACGGCACCTGCGAACCAGAAATCGTCCACATGGGCATGAACTGCGCTTTTCACAACTCCAGTTTTGTCAGTCCAAATCCAACAACATGGTTCCACCTCCAGTTGTCTGTAGCCCAAGGTTTGTAGATATTTGTTCACGCTATTGTGCCAATGCAAGGGTGCTTGAACCAATCCGTATGCTGCCCTCTTCATGAGCATCACGGAGTCATCTGCTAGGCCGTAGGCTTGGGTGATTTCCTTGACCGGACGACACCAGATTTCTTGCTCCAGGTCATCTCCCTGAAGGAATGCACCAGAAATGTCTCCCTTCTCCAACACCCATTGTCGCCAAGCTGTCGTCTGTAAAAACAATTGACGCCCAGCTCGTGATGGCGTGGGTGCCGCTGTCGGTCTTTCTGAGTACTGTATCTTGGGTCTTGATAACCCAAAACGATGGCCCTTGCTTTGGCCTTTTTGTTGTCATCATCAAACTTCCAACTCAACAGCCATCGCATGCCCACCACTTTGCCTCATCAACATGTTTGCGTGCTGCCTCTGCCTCAAAACATTCCGAAGCCACAAAATTTCTCACCTCCTTTTGTTTTGCCTGAATGAACTGAAGAACCTCTTCTTTGGTCAGCTTCTTCTCATTCACTTCAAGCTGTTTCTTTCGCATTATGCTACATATGTAGGCTTCAGGGTTGTTTGCAGCCACGTTTGGATGTAGGCATATCGATGTGCACTTCGATGGCCTGTAAATTTTCCTCAACTGCATAGAAGGCCTCCAAGTCGACCTGGGCTTGAAAACCCTGGTGACCTGACGAGGGTCCACCTGGGTTCTCCAGAGATGGTTCAGCTGGTGACATCTCCAGATCACTGTCCTCTGTCTCCATGGGTTCAGTCATAGTTTTCCTCTTCTTTTCTGCAAGTCTTTCTATCTCATTGTCGCCGCCATGGTCATCCTCTTTTTGAACTCCCCGTGGTGGATCTTGAGGGTATCTGACCAGCGGCCCCTTCTCTGTATGTCGTCTTGTTGGTGCTTCTCCTGTCCTGCTGTTTAATCCTGTAGGTAATTCTGCTGCCTGCTCCCACTGACCCTCTGTTGGTTTCTCTTGGGATATGTCAAGGAATGTTCGACGTTTCGGGTCTGTTGCAATTGCTGTGATGGTCCATGGTAGTTCCACCGGTCCTTTCAAGGTTTCCAACTGTTGTTCATAACTTGATGCGGGTCGCAACTGCTCTGGAGCTGCTCGCAACAATCTGCCTGCACGATGAAGCCAAACAATGGACCCCGGTCTCAAATTGCCCTCCAAGTCCTTTCGTGTCTCAGTTGCCAAAACACGAGCCGGTCCCAGGAATCTGCCAACTGATTGTGTTGTTTGCCCTTCAATGGAACTTGGTTTCGCCAGTAGTATACCAGGTCTCCGGGTACATAGTCCACAATGCGACGAGTTCCACTGCGCTGTGCTCTTTCTAGTCGTCTCTTTGCAATCTCTTCTGCAAATTCCTGAGTTGCCGTCATCCTGGCTTGGATGTCTTCCTTGAAGCCTCCATCATCCAACAGACTTGGGTGTACTGGTCGTATTGTTGGGTCCTCAAAGAATCTACCATACTCATCGGGAGCCCGACCCAAAACTTCTTGTAATGGTGTATATCCCCTGTACTGCTCTTCATTGTTGCATACCCAGGTACTTCTAGCTATGACCTCGGTGGCCTCCATCTCAGGGAATTCCTCACTCAACTTTTCAGCCACGCCTTTCAACGTTTTTGTTGCTCCTTCAACTAAGCCGATCTGCCAGTGACTCTCCCCTGCTATGGTGACATGCTCGGTGCCTTTGTTGCCAAAGTATCTGTCGGCCTCGTCTGACATCCAAGGCCCTCCTGGATCGCAGCGGATGACTTTTGGGTGTCCAAAAATTGCAAACCATTGTTCTTCCAAAATCTGTTTGATCTTTTCCCACGTGGTTTTGTTTCCCCTCCCGGTACTAGCAATTCTTGTCATTCGGAAGCGGGTTGCCTCATCAATCATCACCAGGACATGTTGTTTCTCTTTTGTATGTGGATGCATCCAAGTGAACATATCAACCTGCAATCTCTCCCACTTCTGAGGAATGGTTTCCAACGTTGCAAAATGTCTTGGATCTTTACGATGTCGATGTTCACAAATTGTGCACTTCCACTCTCTCGCAACTTGTAACACTTTGGGGCGAGCTGCACGGAGTTCTAAGGCCTTGATCAGATTAGACATGTTGCTATGTCCCGTACTGCAGTGTATCCTCTGTATTTTCCGGATGATCTCCTTTCGCTCATGCCTCCGGAATCTCAAGTTGTTCTGCTGCCTGTACTTCATGTTGGACTGCTGCTTGAGGTTGTTGGTCATGAAGTTCATCAATCCTGGACCAAACTTCACATTCCGTCGACGAATCCACAACTTTCCGAGCGAAGGCCGATGTGTACCGTGCTGTATGTGCTGTTTCCCCTCGTTCACAACGTCGCTTGGGATGGTTCTTTTGACAGCGTAGGTCCAAATGTTGTATTAGTGCTTTGTTCTTGGTGGTAATCGTCCAAGCCTTGCGCAATGCTGTCTTGTTGTCCCTAGTTCTGAGTCCCACGGTGCACCCATTGCAAGAAACTCTTTTCTTTTTTCGACCATGCCGCTGTTCATAGTCTTGTAAAAAGTCCAAGTGCCAAGCCTGACATCTTTGCGTCAACTCCCAATGAACCTCTGTCCCTACTTTCCAAGCTGCCTCAGCTACCTCAATGGCTCCTCGGTACTGAACCTTTGCTCTTTCTTGTTTGTCATCTAACCGAGCTGCTTGTTCTGGGGTTCTTCGATTGATGGCTTGTAAGGGACAAAAAGGTGCACAATCACATGAAATCCACAAATGAACTGGTCGGAGTTGTCGAATCTTTCGCTTGGCCAAGTCTACACCGGCCTGAGTCGCTAGATTGGCACCATTCCAATCCGACAAGCGAAAAGCCGAGCCCTGACCAAATCGTCTCTCAACCTCCGTTGATAAAATACTATTTGGATAACATGCCAATTCTACCAACAAAGGTCGTTGACTCCAAACAAGGGTTTGCCAGCTTTGACTTTGACTGAATGGATTTCGCTGTAAGTGCCATATCTTAGCCATGGTCAGGGCTGACTCCTCTGATAGAGGAGCCTCAGAGATGCACCGGTCTCTCACATCTCCTTCCGGTTCTTGTGCCTGCCCTCCGTGTGACTCAGCGTGGCCTTCTCCACCTGCAGTGCTGCCTCTTGCTCTGCCACTGCCTGGATCTTGTTCTGCAAGGTCTGACGCATCTGTTCCAGCTCCGCCAACTCTTGCACCATCTGGGTCTGAACTGGATGTTCCTGCCCCGGAAGGTAGCCCTTGGTTTCCACCACCGTGAAGCTCCCCACACTGCTGTCTGCCTTGCTGGAGGTCTTGGTCGGTGTGGCGATGTTGACCTCCATGATGGCTTTTTGATGCTTCTGCTGTTGCAGCCATCGTGCAAACCGGCGAAGACGCCAGTGAGGGCTGTCGCTCTCCTGATTCGTCGCGAGGACCCATGACGCATAGCTCGGGTGCTCGTTCCACACCTCGAGATACGTCTTGTCCCCATACTTCCCAAATCCCACGAACTCGTTGTCCTCGGGCTCGAAGAGTGCATGAATCTCCTTTTCTCCCTGGGCCACCATCCGAGATATGGTGCGATTTGGGTTCACTGGAATGCCCAAGTCCTTCAGGTGCTCCATCAGGTTTCCCTTGAGGCGGCTTGCTTGGTGCAGATTCTTTAGCTTTCCCTTCAGGGTACTCTCTGGGTTTACCTTGTTCTCGGCCTTGATCTCTGTGAGTCGGGCCTTGATCTGGGGAATAGTCCACTTCTCCGGAACTGTCTCGCACAGGCTGCGGAGCTGTTCGAGCAAGGAGCCATGGTGGTCACCAACACAAGGGCACGGAATCGAGTCACAAAATGCTTGAGCTGGCAGTTGCTGTGTAGTGGTAAAATTGATGTGTGGTTCAACAGGCTCGTGCTGCTCTTGTTGTTGTTGTTGTTGTGGTGGTGTGTTGACTCCGAACTCCAAAAATCATCACACAAATAACATCTTTGGTTCCTCCAGGACTTTAGAAAACTCTCAGGACATTGTTCAAAATCAATGTCTGTCCCCACTTCCATTCGACTCTGGTCTGATTGGAGGATATCTAACCCCTGAACTTGGCTCCCCTGACCCACCGACGTGTCCATTTTGCCAGAGGAGGAGTGTCCCTATTCAGACAACAAGTTCAAAAATTCTGACGCTCTCGTGACGCCTCCCTGAAGCAGATTTCCTGCCAGGGGCATCAGCAGATGTCCATTCTGCGCCTCCGTGAGTGGAACCACGGTCTTCTTGTCAACGTTCTTGTACTGTAAATCACCTGATTGGCTTCAAAGTCGATCACGGCTCCGAGTGACTTCAGAGCTTTCCGAGACACCAGCACTGGTTGCTGTGGGGAATCATGGATGTGAACCTCCATGCTTCCATTCTTCGGACCTGCCTGCATCTGCACTTGTGCTGTCGACACACAGGCTATTGACATCCCGTTTCCAAACTTGAAGACGGGTCGTTTGTCCAGATCCAAATGAATCTTGGAATCCCCACTCTGCTCAATGTTCTGTAGTGCCAATGCCTCCATCGATCCTAATGAAGCTGTTGCCCCCGAATCAATGATTCCCATGCACTGATTCATCACTGTACTGGCCACCTGAGCTGCCTCCACAGCTGCCCCGGCAACTGTGCGCTCACGGTGTCCAAACCATGATCCTCTGTCATGACAAAGGCGATCTCGGCAGCTTCTTCTGCCACTTTGGCCTCACTCTTTCAGTGAGGACATTGTGCTTGCATGTGTGGGCTACCGCAACGGAAGCACTGGATCTGATCTTTAGCTCTGTCACCTTTTCCAGCCCCTTTTGGAAAAGGACGAGGTGGGTAGTAGTTGCGACCCAGTCGAATCTGTTTCTGGTTCCAGCGAGCTTCCTTCAAGGTGGCCTTCTGAACTTTGATGGCTTCGAGTGCACTGTCGATCTTGGCCTATTCACAGGCGAATGCCTCCATGGTCTCACTGTCCTCACTGTAGAAGGGTTCTTCTTCTCCCAGCAAAGCTTCGTCGGTCTTCTGGTCCTCGTGGTCAACAAAGCACGCACTTTGCTTCTGCTTGTCCCGTTTTGCTAAATCACTGTCGGACCACTGTTCCCTCAATGCTTTGCCAACTGTCGTAGTGGAGAACTCACCCTTGATGGTGGCCAAGATGTTTGATTTCTCATTCGGCTCAAGACGACTCCGGTGTAGCAACAGGAACCCTGCGAGGAACTCCGGTATGAAAATGTCCTCACTAGAGTCCCATGTTGCTGGAGGTTCATACTCAGCTGAATGCCATGATGACTCAGCCCAGCGATCTTGGGAGCTCTCCCATGATCCTGCCCATGCGGCATGATGCCACAGACCCTCTTCACCTTGGTCCCCAGCCTCTGACTGTGGTCCTTCATCTTCGGCAAGTCTGACCTTGTTGAAGGTGCTCGCCAATCCTTCCATGGATCCTGCGTGTTCCCCTTCTGCAGCTTGTCACGGCCTGCACCCCCATAGTCCTTTTGGACTCGACGAAGAGCTGCCGAGGCCTCCCACAAGGCCTCTGCATGCCTTGATGACCACTCCGTCATAGTTTACCCAGATTGTAGAAAAACTTAATGACATGTCGACTGGCCTCGATCAAGCTGGGTCTTGCTAGGTGTTCCTCCAGAAACTCCAACAGTGTATAGGCGCCCCTACATTGTGACAACCACTGTGGATCCCGGAGGGTTGCAGGCCGAGTGATGGTGCGTGCCACTCCTGTCAACTCTCTCAACAGTCGAGGCCCCACCAAATACCTATTGTGCCACTCAACACCCATCAAATATTGGATCACCTTCTCCTTGTACATCGGTAACATTTCTGGTTTCCCATCGAACCTAGGAATCCTCTCATCCATACCACCTCCGCCGTCTGGCATCTAGTGGTCCGCCCTGGATCTTCGTCCACACGAAACAGCCTCTGTCTTCAGCCGTGCTTCCAACAGAAATAGTGCAACCAGGCTCAAAAAGCTACCATGTGAAGTGGCTCATGAACGCGGTTTTCCAACCAACCCTAGGGGCACTTGATCTATATAATGTTCGCGGAATGGCTGAACAATGAATTTTTCACATATATATAATATATATATACCAACGGCTAGGGAAGGTGCAGGTGCCATGGGGCATAACCTATTTTTTGAGGTTTGTTTTGGCGTTGATTCACTTCAACTGCAGCCCTTTCATGACCAGGCAGCATCTCAGTGTGGTGCGCACTGTTCATGTTGCAGAAGGAGCACTACGCAGGCACTGCAAGTCGCCGACATTGATGTAAGTCAGTGGCGCATGTCATGCCATCGTATAAGTGCACGCACCTTTGAAATTTATGTTTCTCCTCTTTGCAATTGCATGCGAGTATTAAGCCACAGGGGGGTATAAGAGTGACTTGATGGGTTTGAGCAGCAACCCTCGTTGCACCCCATGAAAGCGCAGCCGCATTTTGTTGAAGGAGCCACAAGAATACGTAGAAGGCCCACCACACAGCTTGCTGAAGTCGCCTTGGCAGGCTCCTTTTATTCCTACCCGCACCACAACAACGGCCCCCCCATCAGTTGCTTGCTCAATTTGCAGCACTCTCTGTTGCTTGACCTTGCAACTGTAACCTTGATAATCTTGCAGTCATTCCAAACAATCATCGATGCTGCCACTCCGCCCTCCCCTTCACGAAATCGGAGCTGAAGCTTGTTCGCAGGATGACTCATATGGTTTGTGGATAGCTTAGAAGAGGTTATCAAGTCATTGAGTCATTGGTGCTGATCAACATAAACCACTGCTGAGTTGCTCCGGCTTCGAAGCTCCAGTAATATTACACTGGTTTCACTGCTTTGAAGCTTTGAGGCTGATTGCTGTCCTTGTTGGGTTGGTGCTGACGGCTGCCCGTGGCACAGCTTTGAAGCTTCAGTCTTGCCCTGTCTCGGGTTGAGCTTAAGGCCTGTTTCATTGTCGTTTTTGCTGTCGTTGGGTGGCGCTACTACAATAGCAAGCCGCGCCTTAATTGCATTTTGCAATCCGCATGTAGACGCCTAGACGCCTGTATTATGCCACTGACATCCAAAGCATAAGTGTTGACGCGCGAAGCGTGAGTGCTAAGCCGCCAGTTTAAGCTACTAGTGCTACTATTGCAGTTCGTTACGGCATTCCTCACTGCGATTGTAATGGCTGCTGGGAAGACATCAATCCTTAGCTGTAGCTGCAACCGGCAATCACCCATCAAGGCCTTTGGTGCAATGAGTGCGAAAATCGCCGGAATTCTCACGTGACGTTATGGTTGAAATTACTTTACTTCGAGTGATCCCCACCATGACATTTCAGTCATTTGTCTTGATGCCATAGTCAGGAGCATGTTGCCATGGTCGTGAGTATTGTAGTTCTCAATTTTGCTTGTGGCTCCTCGGGTTGTGTGTTGCGGTTGTGGTTGTGTGTTGTGTTGCGGTTGTTGTTGTGGTTGTGGTTGTGTGCTGTGTTGCGGCTGTGTTTGTGTTTGTGATTTTGTGTTTGTGGCCGTGTGTTTGTGTGTGTGTTTGTGGATGTGTTAGCGGTTGTGTTTGTGGCTGTGTGTTTGTGATTGTGTTTGTGGCTGTGTGTTTGTGATTGTGTTTGTGGTACTGGTAGTGGTTGTGATTGTGTGTTTGTGGTTGTGGTTGTGGCTGTGTCTTTGTGATTGTGTGTTTGTAGTTGTGGTTGCGTCGTTGTGGTTGTTTTTGTGGTTGTGTGCTTACGGTTGTGTGTTTGTGGTTGTGTGCTTGTGGTTGTGTGTGTGTGGTTGTGTTTTTGGTTGTGTGTTCGTGACTGTCTGTTCTGGCAGTGTTTGTAGTTGTGTGTTTGTGGTTGTGTGTTTTTGTTACGTGTTTGTGGTTAGATAATGTTAGTGTTTGTAATTGCGATTGTGATTGTGTGTTTGTGATTGCCTTTTTCTGGCTGTGTTTGTAGTTGTGTGTTTGTTGTTGTGTTTGTGGTTGTGTGTTTGTAATTGTGGTTGCGGTTGTGTGCTGTGGTTGAGGTCCGGCAGGGAACGCTGGGCGTGGATGGTCGTGGTTGAGGTCCGGCAGGGAACACTGGGCGTGGATGGTCGTGGTTGAGGT